TTTAGAAATTTCTGGCTAAATTCAAAAATCTAATATTTAGAACTTTAGAATTTTGAAACATTATTGCTAAATTCAAAAATCCAAAGTTTAGAACTTTAGACTTTTGAAACTTTATAGCTTAATTGAAAAATCCAGAGTTTAGAACTTTAGAATTTTGGAACTTCATAGCTTAATTTAAAAAACCAATGTTTAGAGTTTTTAAAATTACTGATTTACTTGAATATTGCAAAATATCTATTATTAAGACATTAGATTATTGGATAATTACTATAAAATCTAAATTCCTTACGTTAGGAATTTTGAACGGCGGAAATATACACTGACCTACACTGACCGATCAGCTGTAGAAGATGAAAGTGATTGGATTCTGGTAAAATTGGAATTTTTATAATTTTAAAACTGCTAAAAATTAATATTGGGTTAATGGCCAAATTTTGTCAAAAATGGCTAGGAGAGAATTTTTATTTTTATAATGTTTTTTTTCAAATACATGAATACACATGTTTTTATGCTGTGTATCAATTTTGAGCTAACTTTAATCAATTTTTTTAATTTTTATCGTCAAAAATTAGAAAAGTTTTGTCAAAAATGGCTACAAAAAAATTCTTTAATTTTTAAATACATAATACATGTTTTTATGTTGTGTAGAAGGTTTGAACTGATTTCAATCAAATTTGGATTTTTATGAATTTTAAAATTTGCTCTGAATGCCATGTACTGTACTGTATTGCTTGTCAACTTAGTTCACTTGACTAGCATGCTTTGTGGAAAAGCCTATACATGTTCTGAAATGTTTAAATTGTTAAAAATTATAATTTATATTTGCTCAAAAATTTGACCACCTGCTACATGCATATATGTACAAGATATTTTTTAAAATGACCAGGATTTCATCAGGGGTAAATCGAATAGGGCAAAACTCCTTCCTTTGATATAGATATGAGGATATTGACAGTTCCTATATAAAAAAATTTTATCACTTTGTTTCAATTTGAGCATGCTTAATAGCACATAGTACAAAATCGCCAATACAAAATTTGCCAATTACTTTTCCTTAGGCAAAAATTACTTTTGTTGTTGTGCACAGTATGCAATAAATTAAATTTCAAACAGCAAATACTTCCCAAACTATTAATGTTAATTTAACCATTATATGTCATGTATTTTGCATGTGTAAAATTTTGCAATTTGTCTGCATTTTTGTGTTTTTGAATAAAAATTTTACAATTTTAATATAATTACCACACCTATAATCAGCACACTATATTGCAGACTTTAATTTAGCGAGTTTTTCCAAACCATAAAAATCGCAAAATTCAATCCTCACGAAAAATATGGTGCATACGGTATTACTTTAATTGTGTATGTTAATAGTTATTGATGTTGAGGCCCAGCCTTCTTGGAGAGCATGTACAGCTACAAACTATTGAATATCATTCATGATTTTATGCTACCTTGAGCTATAGTTATTTATTACATTAACAATCTCTTTGTTCTAGATATCCCCACTACTGAATGATGATGGTGCCAAACATTTGTTTATTTCCATACTCGAGTTAAAATTCCAATACTTTCAAAGTAGGGAACATTTTAGTGTTGAAGTCAATCTTTTGGGGCAAATGCTGTAATGCATTAGTCAGGTGAGCCTGAGTAGGAAGGCATTTCTAAATTCTATCGTAAGTACATGTATTTTGTAACGACACTGGGGGCGATCGCTTAATATTTTCCCTATCTTAATAGGGTCAAGACAAGTTAACAGAGATTCAGCTTAAAAGGAGACTGTCTTACCAAAGATTAATAAAAGAACACTCAAAGCACGAGCAATGGTGCACAAACCATGCCCTTCAATTAATAATAATAATAATAAAATGATAATGAATAAATGGGGTTTTACAATTTTCTGTACAATTTTTATGATTCTATTTTAATATTAATTTTATGATGCACAACTGGTGATTTGGAGGGAATAATTTCGGCAATTTTTGGTGATTGGTGTGCTTTAATTTGGTTAAGTTGTGGCCATGTTCCAATTGAGCATAGACACAATCATATGTTTACTTTGGCAAAATACCAAATGTACCAAGAGTGCTCATCCCTTTTACCAGCAGTTTCATTCCTAGCAAATAGACAACTGTGATTATCTGTTATAATCATTAATTTTTGTATAAAAATTCTCTCTTAGATATTGAATAACCATTTTTTGCATCATTAGAATTTAAAATTTATTTCTATTTATAATTTCACTAAATAATTTTTGTATTTACTTTACTTTTTAGGTAACTGCTCTTGTTGGCCTGAATGTTACATTTGTCTCAGCGTTCAGTGGAACTACCAATACCATTGAATGTATTTCATGTAGATGCAACCAACACACTCTCATATTACTTTCAAGACCAAAATTTTGATATTTACATTTGAATTATAACATGCAATTCTACCTAATTTTTGATTTCAGTATGTAAAAATTTTATCTGAATACATTTATTTTAGCCCTTCAAAAGACATGACAATCTTTTAGGCACTTGTTCAGTGATTTCAGCATTAAATCTTATAGATCTACTTATGCATTGAAAAAGTCCAAACAATTGTTGTATATTTCTGAAGCTGTAGTACTTTTACTTCTATCATCTAATAATGTTCAAAAAACTGCCGTTTCTGTTGTTCAGGTAGTAATACTCTCTTCAAATTAAATATTATGGTTAAATCATGATTTTTGAAGGAAAATATTCCCAAAAATTCGATAATTTTTGTATTTTTTATTAAGTAATTTTAAATGTTACACTGCATTTCAGTAATACTCTTGTGGTTCTTTAAAGCCAGTTTAGTGCTTGAATGTTTCAGTTGCATTCCATATAGTGCATCAGCACTATAATTATCTATGTGCATGGTTAGTAAGAGAATGAGCACTCTACATGAGGAAGGACATCAATTTAGTAAAATTAGTTCAATGTTCTATTAAAATAAGTAGGTCTTAGAAACTACATACAAAATATTAAAAAGAATGACAAAATTCAATAATAGTTATTTTCTTTTTTTATACAATTATTGTTAATTTGGGTGAAATCAATGTAGCCGGCTAATGGCTCAATGAGATTATTAATTGATGAAACTAAATCACTGAACACTGGCCTATCAATTGGAGACTCAGACCAACATAACATCATCAATGAGTATCTATAATGAAAAATAAAATGAGATAATAGCTAATTTAAAAACATATTTTCTATTCTTTATACATGCAATATGCTACAAAATTTGTTCTTACATTTCCTGTGAGCAGGCTCCATTATATGGGCACTGCAATCGTCCTCCAGTATCCAGTAACTCCACTACTCCTATTGGATCCAGACCAGGATATGGTACCTTACCAAGACTGAACACTTCCCAACAAAGTACACCATAAGACCACTGTAAATAAATGATAATGATTGCATGTAAATTGTAATGGCAAATGAATACTTACAACATCTGATTTTTCAGAGAACAGTCCATCATGAAGACTCTCTAATGCCATCCATTTCACTGGTAGTTTAACTGTTGATGATCCCGAGTTATTATCACTGCCCTTTAGTTGCCTGAAGTAATTGCAGGCATATATGTCCTCAGATAGTCCAAAATCTGCCACTTTGATAACACCATTATTATCAATCCTAACGTACATAGTACAAATGCATTAAACTTTTTTACATATAACTATAATTATTATGTATTCTCTTTCTAACAAAAATTACAAAGTAAGGCATAAATAGATAAAAATATGACATAATAGGGTTCCTTTAGGGGCTGAAAAAAGTTATTATGGTGTTTGAATAAAGAGGAAGCCACTCAATATACTGAGTTCATAAACAATGCACTGTGCAAAAGACTTACATGCAATTTCTAGCAGCAAGATCACGATGAATGAATTTCTGTAAAGCTAAGTAAGACATTCCATTAGCAACTTGTAAACAAATGGAGAGTAACTGTTTCCTGACATTCAGTATAATATCCTCTTCACTGGTATCAGCTACTGTAAGATTAGGCCTCTCTTTCTTGAGGTAAGACAATAAACTTCCTCTTGACATGAAAGGCATGATAATGTATGGAGCTGGTCCAAGATCAAGACACACACCAATCAGTGGTAATACATTTAAATTATCAAATGACATCATTATAATGCACTCATCCAATAAGGAATCAATGTCACTCTCTTTATAAAAACCTATTAAAATTGTGAAAGTATAAAGTATGAATGCAAATACACAGTTAGGTACATGTTTCAATAATATTTACAATGCATAAACGCAATCATTTGCATTTAATAATAATAACTACCCTACTTTTATTGTACTCAGTAATTAACACCTAACAAGTGGACTGTTAATGTAAAGCTATTCAAATGTAAGAGCTGTTGAGTGATTGCTAAACACCATTGAATAAATCTAATTAGTACACAATGAGAAGTGAGAACTTGATGTTTTTTTCACTTAAAGCTGAGTAGAAAGAGAGGTAGAGAGCTCAAAGAACAAACACAGGAGAGATGAAAGCAATTAAAGAGAATAAAACAGAAAAGAAGCATGCAATTCATAAAATATACTTTGTATGCATAAGATGTGGGTGACAATATGATAGCCTAGAACATGCATACACCGATAATGTTACAATAGTAGACTGCCCAATCATTTTATTTTTTTACAATTTAAATATATATCATAATGCAAGACTGTACCCAACCTTTTAATGTTTTCACAGCAACTGCTTTTGGCATTTGAGTGTTACTTGTCATTACACCACGATACACTATACCAAATTCACCTAAACAAAGCAAAACTAACTGTTTAATTCAATGTTGCTCAAACCTTGTCCAACAGTTTCTTGTATTTCAATGAATGATCCTGATATTATATAATCTGATAACTGTTTCATGTACTTTGATGAAATATCAATAGGTTTGCTAGGATTATAAATGTTTTCTCTACTGCTATCAGAAGCTAAAAATATACAAGTAATGTGAGAAAGTATGACATGTATTTACTGTATTCGTAATGTTGGCACATGCTTGTATATGTGCAATAAAGGAAGTTAATATACAGCAATTTTAATATGTATAGTTTTACTTACGTAACAAAGGCTTTGAGGGGATTACATGCAGCACTAGATCTGTCGTATTTTTCTTCATTTTTCCTCTCCTTTTAATCAAACAGAAAATGAATAACACTGCCATAAATACTACCAGTAGAACTAGTGGAATAGTTACTGCTAATGGGATTAATACTGATGTTAACATAAATGAAAAAGCAGTAGGAATCACAGTAGGAATGACAGTTGGTTCTGTTGTTATTGCACTGTACATACTGCTGGTAGTGTGATGTGATGCTGACAGGATAACTGAGGAAGTATCTATAGTAAAATTAAATTTAATCGTTATAGTATGAGAAGCTTTACAATTATTGCAAACACAGTAACTGTATATTATACAAAAATTGTAATCAAGCACTTGGTAAACTTCATCAATCACAAGTCAATAATTGGCAATCTTAAGCTAAACTAGCAATGATTTTGTGCATAAAACTTAAAACAGATGTTGTGAATCATTAAAAGTTGTGTATTTAATCACTGAAAAATTACCTGTCACAGGCAGTAAAACACCTCCATTAGAGCAACAGTCGCTAGTCAAATTTAGAAAATCAATTAGCTTATCAGTATTGTTACATGATGGTAATTTGATTCCCTCATCATTTCTATATGATGAGGGAATTTGAGCAGAGGCAAGATAACTAGCAGTAATTGACCAAATATCAGGACACAATGTTTCTGACATGTATCGACACACATCAGGACATAAAGGTAGTGGAACATGCAGGGTACCATTAAAACCACAGGGCAAGTAATAGTGAGTACACAGAACTCTAACAGCAATATCACGACAGCGGACTGGTATTGATGGAATAAACTCATCAAGTTCTTCTGTGAACTGTCTTAAAAGATTCTGAGAGCCTTCAAGACGTCTATTTGGAATGTACACATAATCAGTCCAAGCAATATAAAGGTCATCACAAATTCCAACTTCAGAGTCTCTTTTAATGTAAGGCTCACACCTACCATTGGTACTAGAAATAATAATAATTTTAAAATCATTAATGAGGTAATGGCTATGCTTATACCTCATTACTGACCACAGTTGGTCATCAAGTTCAGTATCACACACTGTGATATTTTTAACAGAGTCTTCTATTGTTACTAATAGATTCATGATATGAGTGTACTAGCAAATAAAGTTTACCTGATTCTGAGCAATGTATACCTACATCCTCATGATGTCCACAATCATGAGACCCAAAACTATTGTGCATACATTGAAGTATTGTATCTTCCGATCCTGAACATTCAACTTCATCTAATAGTATGGACCCATTCCCAGCACCAAAGAATGCTTTCTCAAGAAATACAGCCCCTATAGGTATAATAAAATGAAGCATTTATGTAACATAACAATAATATATCTAATAAATCACCATCAGTAGAGTATCCCAGTTGTCTACAAACTACTTGAGCATTGGTGTGTGACCACTTATCATCACAAACAGTTCCCCAATCTCCATTAATACATATTTCTAGTCTTCCCTCATTTGGACCATTTCCATCCACTAGACGAATCTGACCATGTGAGCAACCTACAGAAGATATAAATTTTAACATAAAGCAACTAGATCTATAGATCTAGATCTACCTAGATTATCTGTACCATTAAAAACAGAAAGCTTACCAAGAGCTACGTATACTGGTAATACCCAAGCAGAAAGAAACAAAGCCAGAAGAAACATGTAGACAAAACGATAAGACTGACAGAAGTCTGAACCACACCTAGATCTAGATCTAGATCTAGCTCTAAGGGCTAAAAGCGGATAGATAATAATTAAGGCCTTTTCACACTTGTCCACTTTGGATCCAGAATTGAGATAAAATCCAGGATTAAAACAGGATTGGCTTGTTCACACTTGTCTTGAATCAGGATTGAATCTAGATCCAGTCAATCCACATCCGGAGGTGGTTTGAGGTGGATTGATCTTAATTAAATATTCATAACCTGTAGCAGCCAATGCAGTTTAATTCACTTTTAATTCTTTCAAAGTAGCCTAGTGTGAACACAACCAAAGAGGATTCTATTTTAGCAGGTTGCAAATCTGGATCCAAAGTGGACAAGTGTGAAAAGGCCTTAAAAGACTCAGACCAATAAGATAGATCTATAGTTACTGTGTTTAATACTGAAGGAGATTGAATGTCATGATAACAATACATTCATTCAGTAATGAATCAATATCAATTTCTTCACAATGAAAGCAATAAATTTATGCATAAACAAATTTAATGCCAAAATGCAAGTTCAAATAGAGTCTAGTTAAGTGCAAAATTTTACATTACATTTTAATGCCTCACCTACTAGCTTAGTCTACCATATAAACTCAACAAACATGCAAACTATCTAGACACTGCAGCTCTACAGTACATGAATGTCCGCAACCAATACTCACTTCCCCACTCTTGGATCTATTTCAGGTCAGAGCATGACCATGTGAGTGTATAGCTTGTAAAACAAAAAAGTGATTAGATTCATCGAGCAGATTAAATAATAAGCTTGGGCTTATTTCATCTCTTATTAAACACCAAATGAGAGGACAAGCATAATACCAATAACCACAGCTATATATGCAGCAACTAGTCTAGCCTAGTGTTTATACCAGACACATAATAAAAATAGGTTTATGCAAGTCATGTTCAGCCTTCACATTAAAGTTTGAAAAGTTTTGAAAAATGAAAAGAATATTATGCATGTAAAATGTTATACAAGGATAATTATTCAGTAATAATTATTTTCTTTTTTTATACAAGTGTTATTAATTTGAGTGAAATCAAGGTAGCCTGCTAACGGTTCAATGAGATTATTGATTGATGAAACTAAATCACTGAATGCTGGCCTATCAATTGGAGACTCAGACCAACATAGCATCATCAATGAGTATCTATAGAGAAAATATAGTGAGATTATTACTAAAACATAATATTGAGCAAAAGAAACTAACAACACAGAGGAATCTCTTTATATGTATGCATAATGCAATGCTACAAAACATGTTCTTACATTTCCTGTGAGCAGGCTCCATTATGTGGACTTTGCAATCGTCCTCCAGTATCCAGTAACTCCACTACTCCTATTGGATCCAGACCAGGATATGGTACCTTACCAAGACTGAATACTTCCCAACAAAGCACACCGTAAGACCACTGCAAATAAAAATAAAATTCAAATTGATAGTGATTACATGTAAATAGCAAACGACTCATACTTACAACATCTGATTTTTCCGAGAACAGTCCATCATGAAGACTCTCTAATGCCATCCATTTCACTGGTAGTTTAACTGTTGATGATCCTGAGTTATTATCACTGCTCTTTAGTTGCCTGAAGTAATTGTGGGCATATATGTCTTCAGATAGTCCAAAATCTGCTACTTTAATGATACCATTATCATCAATCCTAATGTACATACACAAACGCATGAAACTTTTTAATTATAACTATTACAAATTATGCATTCTATTTCTATCAAAAAATTACAATTTAAGGCATAAAAAGATGAAAAATATGGCGTATTAGGGACCCTATAGGCTAGGGCTGAAAAAAGTCATTATGCATGGTGTTTTATGAAGCTACTGTTACATAATGACGAAGGGAAGCCACTCTATAGTTCTGTCACACTTATATCATAATGAGTGCACTGCGTAAGATTTACATGCAATTTCTAGCAGCAAGATCACGATGAATGAATTTCTGTGAAGCTAAGTAAGACATTCCATTGGCAACTTGTAAACAAATGGAGAGTAACTGTTTCCTGACATTCAGTATAATATCCTCTTCACTGGTATCAGCTACTGTAAAATTAGGTCTCTCTTTCTTGAGGTAAGACAATAAACTTCCTCTTGACATGAAAGGCATGATAATGTATGGAGCTGGTCCAAGATCAAGACACACACCAATCAGTGGTAATACATTTAAATTATCAAATGACATCATTATAAGACACTCATCCAGTAAGGACTCAATATCACTCTCTTTATAAAAACCTATAAAAAATATATAAAATTGTAAAAGTATGAATAAAAATACACAGTTAGATAAGTTTTAATGATGTATACAATGCACAAACACATTCATTTGCACTAATTACCCTACTTTGCATTGTACTCAAGACTGTAACAAGACTGTGCAATATCATTTTATTTCTTTTATTGTAACAAGACTGTTAATGTAAAGTTATTTAAACGTAAGAGCTGTTGAATGATTACTAGAATACACTATTTAACAAATCTAATGACTACATAATAGTATTTATGGACTTGATAATGTTTTATTAGTTAAAGCAGAGTAGAAGAGAGAGAGAGCTCACAGAATGAACATACAGATGAAAAGAAATTCAAGAGAATAGAACAGAAAAGAAGTGTGCGTTACATTAATTATACTGTGTATGCATAGGATGTGGTAACTATGTGATACTATTATTATTAATTTTAGTCTGAGTAAGAACATGCATACACTAATACTAATGTTACTATAACAGACTACACATTATAATTTTTATTTCTTTTACAATTTAAATATCATAACGCAAGACCGTACAATATAATATTAACTACCCAACCTTTTAATGTTTTCATAGCAACTGCTTTTGGCAATTGAGCGTTACTTGTCATTACACCACAATACACTATACCAAATTCACCTACAAAAAGCAAAAACTAACTATGTTTAATCCAATGTTACTCAAACCTTGTCCAACAATTTCTTGTATTTCAATGAAAGATCCTGATATTATATAATCTGATAACTGATCCATGTACTTTGATGAGACATTCATTGGTTTGCTGGAATCGTAAATGTTTTCCCTACTGCTATCAGAAACTATGAATATGCAAGTAAAAATGAAAGAGTATACATGAAGTGCATTAACTGTATTAGTAATGTTGTCACATGCTTGTACATGTAATAAGGGAAGTCTATAAAATGCTACAGCAATTTTAATATGAATAACTTTACTTACGTAACAAAGGCTTAGAGGGGATTACATGCAGTGCTAGATCCGTCTTTTTTTCTTTCATCTTTGCTGCCCTCTTAACCAAACAGACAATCAATAACACTGCTACAAATATAACCAGTAAAACTAGTGGAATAGTTACTGCTAATGGGATTATAACAGTTGTTAATATAAGTGAAGAAGCAGTAGGAATCACAGTCAATTCTGGTGTTGTATTATACATAGTGCTGGCAGAGTGATGTGTTGTTGACAGAATAATTGAGGAAGTAGTTGTAAAATCTATATAGCAGATTTAAATTTAATCATAATAAGTGTGAGAAGCTGTACAATAATTATAAACACAGTAACTGTATATACACAAAATATGTAATCAAGCACTTGATAAACTTCGTCAAGCACTAGCCAATAATTAATAATTTTAACCTAAACTAGCTATTATTTTGTTTGTAGTGTGCTTATGAATCATTAATTTAAACATGTCTATTTAATCACTGTACAATTACCTGCGATGGTTGGCTGTGGTAGTAAAACACCTCCATTAGAGCAACAGTCATTAGTCAAATTCAAAAAAACAATTAGCTTATCAGTGTTGTTACATGATGGCAACTTGATTCCCTCATCATTTTTGTATCCAGGACTAATTTGATCAGAGGCAAGAAAACTAGCAGTAATTGACCAAATATCAGGACACAGTGTTTCTGACATGTATCGACACACATCAGGACATAAAGGAAGTGGAACATGCAGGGTGCCATTAAAACCACAGGGCAAGTAATAGTGAGTACACATAACTCTAATAGCAGTATCACGACAGCGGATTGGTATTGATGGAATAAACTCATTAAGTTGCTCTGTGAATTGTCTTAAAAGATTCTGAGAGCCTTCAAGACGTCTATTTGGAATGTACACATAATCAGTACCAGGAATATAAAAGTCATCACAGATTCCAACTTTAGAGTCTCTTTTAATGTAAGGCTCACAGCTACCATTGGTACTAGAGATAATAATGATTTTAAAATTAATTAATGAGGTAATGGTCATGCTTATACCTCATTACTGACCACAGTTGGTCATCAAGTTCAGTATCACACACTGTGACATTATCAACAGAGTCTTCTATTGTTACTAATAGATTCATGATATGAGTATACTAGCAAATATATTTTACCTGATTCTGAGCACTGCACACTTACATCCTCATGATGTCCACAATCATGAGACCCAAAACCACGGTGCATACATTGAAGTATTGTATCTGATCCTGAACAAACAACCTCATCTAATAGTATGGACCCATTCCCAGCACCAAAGAATGCTTTATCAAGAAATACAGCACCTAGGTATAATAAAAAAGTAGATCTACTTAGGTAGTATAAAATCTACCTATTACTAAGATTTAAGAACATAAAAAATTTAAAAAAAACAAGGTTAAGTAGGATTCCGAATGACCAACGAAAATACGAAATGAAAATCCTACTCGTGATGCAAATTCTACTCTACATTGTACTTTCAATGTTATTATGTAAGAATTACAGATCACCTTGCAATGTAGAGTAGAATTTGTGTCACGAGTAGGATTTTCCTTTCGTATTTTCGTTGGTCGTTCGGAATCCTACTTAACCTTGTTTTTTTTTAATTTTTTATGTTCTTGTTTGTGTTGATTTTTTTATAATATTTATAATATTTCTTTAGTTGCCATTGTGATGCTTGTTGATTTTACACAAACAATAATTTTCTTTATTATTATTATCATTGTTATGTCTTTACAGCATTTCTGAGCGGGGAGGAGTACAGCATTGAATTGATATGTAGTGAGCTGACTCATCATGACATCACATCAGAACTCATAAATATTCACGAACTATCTTTGTATATATAATGCATGCTGTGTAAATTATTATAATCAGTGTTTGGGTGTCAACACGAGGCATCGTTAGCTTTCTCTCTAGTGTAGCAATCCTGTCTAGCTGCCTTACACATCATCATAGTACTCATTTTTGATTTGCTATAGATGTAAGCTCACTGAAGAAATATCTACTATACTGATAACAAGTAAAATTAATACTAGTCTTGACAGGAGTCCTTGTTCAAGAAGCAGTGAAAGTATCCATCTTCCCTGCAATCCTGTAGCTATTCCTGTTCTTCCTGTTAAGTTTATATTATCATTGCATTATTATAACATTAATTGTTTGTTTTTTTGAAATAAAATAATTCACTACACACTTGATAAAAGAATAATAAGCAAGATTAATACCTTCTCTTAGCTGGAAACCTCCACTAAGTATTGTAATTTGATTCCAAGCATAGCTAGCCTAGCTAGGTTTAAAAAATTGCTTGCTTTTCCCAGTTCTGAGGTCTGAGCATGCGCGACCACGCCCAAATTTTGGAGCACATGCTTCTTTAATTAACAAAATGGCGGCATGAGGTAATCTGGACTAACCCAGCAGACCATAGTATCACTTCTGCCAGCTTGGAGAATGATCTGATGGGACATGGACCTGCGCATAGACTGTTGGAGTAGAATGGTGTAAAAATTAGCTTTTTACTACCAGCCAAGATTGAGATACAAACGGACAACTGGATTGTGAGGAGAAGATGACTAAGATGAAAAAAGTGGCTGAACAAAACGGCCCGTTTTGCCGATTTTAAACTTTTTTTATAGACAAGGTTTAGAGCCACGCTAGTGGTACCAATGGAGTCCTCTGGTCAAGATAAGGTCCTCTAAGAAGTCTGGTAAGCATAGGAGCTCGTTTTCCCGGTATAGCAAGGCTGCAAAAGTCGTGGCAGCCATTTTGTTTTGGGGTGAATCCTACTTAGTAACGCTACCGCGTTACTAATAGAGACTCACTCACCCTAGAGTGGTCGTTATGTTCTATGGGCTACAGTACAGGGTAATTTTTTAAAATTGGCTGATTTTAAAAAATGACCATAACTCAAAAAATTTCAGTCCGGAATCACTTC